GGCAATCTCAAAAGTACTAAAGATAAGAGAATGAGGGAGTCGATCTATAAGGTCTGCAGCCATTCAAATTCCAGGAAAAGGAGAACAGAAATTGGAGGTTAGGAAATAAAGAATTAATGCAGGAAAACTTCCTGGAGCTGAAGGGCATGAGAGTCTAGTATGAAAAGAAGAGTTTACTGAATACATAGCAAGTGAATAGGAAAGATCTCACATCAAGGAAAAATATAATGATATATTGGAGGTTACAGATAGAGAGATTTTAAATGCTTCTGGAGGAAAGAAACAGGATACTTAGAAAGGCTCAGGGATTAAATGCCATCATACTTCTCATTGACAGCACTGGAAACTGGAAGACAGTGGAGCAATATCTTTGCAATAGCAAGGGAAATAATTTCCAACTCAGAATTCTGTTTCATCTGAACTGTCTGTCAATCAAGTATGAATGAATATAGGCTAACTACATTTTCAGTAGGTAAAGTCTCAAAAATGTGCCTTCTCCCATACGCATCCTCTGGAATTATCATCATAGCTAACACTTACATAGTACCATCTATGTGCTTCAGTTCACCACTTTAGAGCAACAATAAGAGGTGGATATTATGATTTCCCTGTTGTACAAGTGGGGAAACCAAAGCATAGAGAATTGAGCTCCCGAGACCACATAGCTAGTAAGTGGTGGAATTGGGGTTTGAACCTGAGTTGTCTGAACTCCACGATGTTACATTGCCTCTACTTGAGGATATGCTCCACCCAAGTGAGGGAAACAAGCAAAATAGCTACAGGAAATGCGATGCAGCCCAGGAGCAGCGAAAAGGGGAAGCGATGCTCTAGGATTGTAGCCGTACAAGTAGGTTCAGAATCCAGTTGCTCTGGACTAGAACAGACAGAGGGCTCCAGGAAACAAGCAGGACGGATCCATTACCAGATGTGTTTGATCATGTTGAGAGTCACCTGCCTGTTGGAGAATGAACTGTGATACCTACATGGAAGAGCAAGAAGATGAGGGGAAATATCTAAAAAGAGCTATCGCCATAATATACTGTGGGCGCTGTTCTGAAGAGTCTTTGTGTAGACCTTAAGGGGTAAATCCTGAATATTGCGTTCACTAAGAATAGTGATTTGGAGAGGGTGGGGAGAGAGAGTGGGTTTAGGTGTGTGCGTGCTTATGTGGGGCCAGTGCACATGGTGTAAGGGAATCACATCCTCAGCTTTTATAGTCAGAAGTCAGTAGATGAAAAAATAAAAACAAATAAATGAAGCACTATTAGCATAGTATTTAGAAATATGGCAGTAATACCAGAAGAAACACTTAAGAGATTTGAAGTGGTTGCCTCTGGGGCGCTGGAATTAGAGATTGGAAAGGGTGAGGCCGAGGACTGCTATTATTTGATATGAGAGTTACATAATTTAGTCAATAGTGTAATAACCATGTCCAGTGCCAGGTGGGTACCAGACTAGTCAGGGGGTCACTTCTTAAATTATACAAATGTCTAACCACTATGCTGTGCACCTGAAACTAAGATAAAATAATATTGAATGTCAACTATAATTGAAAAATTAAAAAAGGGGATAAAAAGGTGAAGGAGATTAAGAGGTTCAAACTTCGAGGTACAAAGCAAATAAGTCATGGGGATGTAATGTACAGCATAGGGAATATAGTCAATAGTATTGTGATAGCATGGTACAGTGTCAGGTGGTTACTGGACTTATCATGGTGTTCACTTCTTTAGGTATATAAATGTTAAACAACTGTGGTATACGTTTGAAGCTAATATTGTATGTTAGCTACATTTTAATAAAAATCTGAAGAAAAAAAAATAATACACACATAACATGGAATTACCCTTGACTTTTCTTTCTGCCCCAGCCCATATCCTGTCATCCTACCTGTCAGCAAACCTTGATGGTTCTATACTCAAAGTGCATCTGGAATCTGACCCCTTCTCACCACCTCCACCGCCACCCTGTGGGTCCAGCCACTCCTCTCATCTGGATCATTGCAGTGTCTCCTCTGGGGTCTCTGAGCTTCTATCCGTGCCCCTTTTCAGCTCGCTATCTGCACAGCACCCAGAGTGATCCAGCTCAATCATAACCTACAATAGATTATGTTGCTGTCTTGCTCAGAGCCCCACAGTGGTTCCCTAGTTCACGTGGAGTAAGAGCCCAAGTCCTTCCAGCTGCCCCTCTGCCCCGCCCACATCCACACGCACCCCCTTTCCTGCTTTACTTGTCTCCATAGCACTTCTCATCATCTGACATAGTAGGTAGTTGACATAGTCATTTTGTTTCTTGTCTGTCTTCCCTTCTTAGAACTTAATCTTACCAAAGGTGGGGGTTTTTTCAGTTTTGTTCTCTGCTGTATTCCCAGAGCCTAGAATAGTGCTTGACACATAGTACGCACTGAATAAAGATTTATTAATTAATGTTTTGCTCTTCTAAAAATAAAAATTATACTTAAAATTAATTACCACCGGTTTTTAAGAAGCTATTTACAGTAAGCTAAGCAGCTCATTGTCTTACTGGTTTTTAGCATCCACAAGCAGTTTGAAAGTGAAAATCCTGAGGGATCTAATTGAAAAGATTTGTTTCCATTTGGAAAATAACCATATGCTGGCCCGAGATTATTCCCCTTTAGAAATCTGTGCTGTGTACTGTCACTCCTTATGCCAAAATTTATTGTAATGTAAACTATTTATAACATGGACTGTTGATTTTCAAACCTTCTGGCAGCTAAGATTTCAAGCAGGATACTAGTATTTATTTTTAAATCATAGACTCTGCTTTGTGAGAGTAAATAAACATCACAGATACCTTCTATAAGGAGCGAACACCTAAGATTCCAGTTCTTACAAGGATAAGTACCTCCAGAGATCTTAGCATCAGTTTGCTTTTTAATTACTCATCATAATTCTTGCCATGTTTTGCTGCTGACTAAAGCTACTTGTATTTCATCGGGGTGTTTTCTTTCTTAGCTTTGCCTGTCTTCTCACCTATTCCTTCAGGAAACTTCAGATGCCAAATTAGTGATATCACATATATTTCCATGGCTACGGATCACAATTCTGCATACACGTGATTAGAATTCACAGCAGGAGAAGCTGGACTGTGAGAAGGAATGACCTTTATCTAAAGTAAATACTTGATTAGTGCAGAGAACGATAAAATGAGGAGCAAAGCAAATGACATGGTCTTTCTTTGCACTGCCTGCAGAAGTCTTTCTCCTTGGAAATCAGCTGGAAGATAACCTCCCCCTACACTCCCAGTTCTTAAGTAATTTATATTTGTGTTGTCTGTTTACTATGGGACCAAAGAGAGTTTGCAGGAACTTGTGTTATTTTGTTTTGTTTTGTTTTTGGTGCTTTCACTGAGCTTAAGCGTTGTTTCAATACTTAGTCGATTACAGAAGAAGAGTTCTGAATGCTTGATGATGTTTCTGGTACCTGTAATATCAGCAAACATTTCAAGATGTTTTTCACCTCTCCTCAGACTTCCAGATGTGCTCTTCTGTTGCAGGGTTGTGCAGTTATAGCCACATACTCACCTTTTCGTCCTAGGTCATCAAGCTCTTTTTCTTTTAAGAGCAGATGATATTTTATGGTATTATTTTGAGGAAAGAAAATGAATTTGGGGGGAGTACTAGTTAAGTACCCGTGTGCTAAATTCACTCATATTTAGTATCTAATATAGGGCTCAACGTAGTCAACCTTTGGCCTCTGATGGTAGTTCATTGTTCTTGTGATTGTGATAGGAACTGGGTGATTTTAATTTTTGTGAACCCAAGCTGAGAAATCTTAAAATAATTTGTGCCAAAATGACTTTGGAGGTCATTAAAATTAAGTGCTGCTGTTATTGGTTGTTATTTTTAATGACTAATCGATATTGCTGTAGATACATAGATTTCTATACAATATTTGACAAAGTGCCTCCTTGTAAACAAGGCCATTTGTAAGCTGGTAGATAAAACAGTTACTAGGACTAACTGCTGGTTGCAGATCCCGCCCCATACGTGTCTGGGGAGATTGCGAGGGGCTGGCGCAGGTTGCTGCCTGTGTCTTGACTTGGGACGATGACTGTGAGGCACGTTTGCTCACTGGTGGATGAGAAAGCTGAGGGGAGTAACAGAAAACAAAATGCCAGCTAAGAGTTTTAAAAGATCACAGACTGAAGGATGTGTTGAAAGAGGCTGAATGAATGTTAAGAGTGATAGTTCTTGTCATCAGGTAAAAGTATCACTATAAAGTTACAGACTGGTAAGAACTGGCCTTAATTACAGAAGAGATAGATTGGTCATTTCCTTTTTCACAAATAATGCTACCATGTTATGTGTATTTCTAAGCAATATATTATTTTTTAACTTGTTTTTGAGTTGTATTAAAATGGTATTATACTGTATACAGTCTTTTGCTACTTGCTTTTGACATTCAGCATTGTTTCCAGGATTAAAATATATCAGTTGTTCTCAGCCAGAGTTCCCCATCTGGACTGTAGAACACAGATGACCTGAGTGCCTGTTTTCTCATTTCTCTCAAGGATGGTATCTATGTAGCACCCTGTAGGTACACAGGAGAGGTGCTGTCTTATTATGTACAGTGGGTGCTTTAGGCTAAGGCAGTGGAGCTGAATTCTCTTCTGGAACCTGGTGGAGAAAGACTGACTTGTTACAGATAGCTCTAGTTGATTCATTTTGACTGCTGTAAAATGTTCCTTTGATGAGCATACGAACACTTACATGTTCTCCTATGAGGAGCATTTGGGTTGTTTCCAGTTCTTTCGATATTGTTATTGTGAACAGTGCTGCTGTGACCATCTTGTATGTATCTGGGTGCACATGAATAAACGTTTCTCTAGGTATACATCCAAGTGCCTAGGGGACTCGGTATGTGTTGGGGGACTGCTGTATTTTAATGGGGACATTGGGAAGCTAGCGTGAGGACAAAGGAGGGCAATTAAGAATAGTTTAACTATATCACAACTAACCTTAATTTTCCTTCTTTTCTTAGGGATTGAAGAGGTTAATGACCATTTGCCAGAAGCACTTTCCTACAGATCCATCGAAGTGCGTGGAGTACAATGCACTATGAGACCTGCGTAGTGTGTGTAAATAACAATAAGAAACTCACGGGAGCGTGATATGGACTTTGGATTTGCAAACAGGAATGAGAGAAGAAACATGGAGTTTCTAGACTCTGAGTTCTACCTAACGCAACTCTTGGTTTTAAGAACTGTGCTGGCTTTCTTATCACATCGGACTGCAAACTGGTTTCTGTGTCTTGCTTTTATTTTAAATAGTCAAACAATTAAGTGCTAAAAGACTTTTCCCCGTAATTTAAATGTGTAGGCAACAGCCACAGAAGGGAGTTTAAAATGACTCTTTCCCTCTAGACCTGAAAGTTGCAGTTAGATGCTTAAAAAGGAACATTTGAGGAGGGACTTAATTGTTTCTGTAAAATATGGTGATTTTTCACTTGTCTTTTATGTTGTATTTTTAGAAGATATTTTTATATATTTCAACAAAAATGTGGAACCACTTAATGAAACTTTATAGCCCTTAAGTGTTGCTGAACTTTTGCCATCTTGCAATAGAATTTGAATGTAAATGTTATTACTCTTAAGTGTTCTTTTTCTTGGGTTTCAAAGCTTGCTTTTATCTTCTAAGGAGTGTAAATTTTTGTATTTGTCATCTCTCGGGACAGATAGAATGAACAGGAAATAGAAGTTTGAAAAACAAAGATGGTATATTACACCAACAGAAGTTCAAATTAAGTAACCCCAGTGCATCAAGGTCAAGGTGGGGAAGTGGACTGTCCAGTCAGCCTTGAATGGGGGCATTTTGCTGCTGCTGGGGCCTCCTAAACTAGGACTGCCTGCAAGTTCCATCTGCACGAGACTGGTGGGCTGCTCTCCCACCTCCTCCCTCCAAGCTGAAGGCGAGGGCGCCAGTACTCTTGTCACTGCCGGAGACAGTAGGTCCTGGCTCCGATTTCCCACAGATGAGGACTTCTGAATCTCGCATTGTCATACGCAGATAATTGTGATGAACCACTGCACTTTGAAGGCTGAGAGGACTCAGGTAATAGAGGAAGGTGGTAAATCGAATGTCACCTGACCAGGTGGAATGTCACCTGATCAGAGAGTGGTAAGAGTGGGGCTCTGAAGCGAGAACTTCTTAGCTGCAAATTTCAGCTCTCCACCTACTGACTGTATAACCATGAGTCACCTCACCTGATCTTTCTGAGCCTCAGTTTCCTTATTGCAAATGGTTGTTAGTAGTACATACCTCATAGTGTCATTGTTGTGTTTAAGTAAAGAAAATACTTAGCACACTGCCTGGCAAATAATAAGAGCTCAGTAAATATTCGTTGTGTCCTTGTTGTTATGTTAGAGTGAAGCCGAAGCAGCTGTCACGAACGCCATGGTCAGGGGCAATGTGTGCTCACATAGCGATAACAGCAGTCACGGTGGTGGAAGCAGCAGCGGCGGTAATAGTGGAAACGTCTCCTATACACGGGCTCTGTGGTGTTCCCACCGTCAGCCAGTTCTGAGTAGTCAGCGGAGTAGGAAGGTGGGTGTAGACTCCCAGTCACTTATTCTGGCCCCTCCTGGGAAGGCTTGACAGCTGGTGTGGCCACCTGTGGTCTGTGGCTGTGCCTGTCTGATCATTTCTGCTGGTTATCTGCATGCTGGTGGCTGAGGCCTGCCGCAGGCTCCTTGCCCCCTCCCCCACCCCACTCCCCATTCTAGAAACGGTGTCTTGTGATTAAATTGGTTAGAAATTAGGGGAGCTACTAGGGCAAATGAGAGACACACTTTCATAAGATAAGACAATCTAGGCTTTCGTTATGTAGTCCTGTTGTATAGGACTTGTTTTTAAATATTGTTGAATGAATACTCCCCAAAGTACTTTTTGTTTATTCACAATCAGGCCACAGCATGGCAGTCAGTTAATTCCACATTGTCTTCCCGTTTGCTGTTAGTTAATATCCCACATAAAGAAGAAATTGCATTATGTGAGAGCAGTACCTTCTAAGATTGATCAGTATGGATAGATGGTTAAAAAAAAACAATGGTAACAATTTCTACAGTGCTGTGAATATTAACCATTTGGGCTTGGGTAGAGGGAGGCAGGTTCAGAGATGTGGATCCCTCACAGACGCTTTCCATTTCCTTGAAACTAAAGATTTCAGATGACTACAAATATGTGGGTAGGTAAGAAAAGACCTCTTGCGTTCTCCAAATCATGACAATTTTAGTTCACCTGATACGCCATTCAGTTTTTAGCTCTTTCTGAAACAAAGGCGTATCTTCTAAAATCAATTTCCATCCTGAAATAAGTATGTTCCTCCCTTTCTTCCTGCCCAGCTCCCCAGACTCCGATCCAAGGGAGCTGTGTCTTCTGGATTCAAATTTAGGGAAACACTGGTTTTCCCTCAGCAGTACACACTGTATTTCCTGGGAGTGTTCCTGCCAACGGTGAAGACTATTCACTATTTTTCAGCACTGCAGCAGAGCCTGCGGCAAGCTGGAAGTCACGGCTGTGATTTCAGCCTGGGTGAAATGAGGAAAATAAAGCTGAGGCCAAAGATAGTTGACACATAGTAGGGGAGAGAAAGAGAAAGGTCCGCACCTTGTAGGAAGGAGGAGGTCCTGAGAGACCAGAGCTCGGAAGGCAGCTGTCACTAATAGCAGACCCTAGGGGTCTGCTGTGGGCCCTGAACGCCAGCATTTGGAAGGACAGGAAACAGGACTGGTAGCAGGACACTTCTGAATGTCCAGTTCTTCCGTCTGCTGACTTGCTGACCTACTCTAGCACTTCAGATCGCCCTGGGATTTGACCTCAGTAAATACTTTAGAAATACAACTGTTCTTATGTGAAAGAAAGCAGTCATTTATTCTGAAAGTAAACAGCTTGGGAAAGACTAAAAAAAAAACATGTTTCAGAGTTTTGGGTAGATTTGAATTTGGGGATTGCTATCACTGGCTCCTTTCAGCCATACAGTAACCCCCATTAATGCTTCTTAATATAGAAGATAGTAGAACTAAGTGGGGCTGTTTCAATGAAAGGGGAGCATGAAGTCGAGATGTGACTCTGTCCTTTGTCTGAATGACTTGAAGAGCAGAACTTAATGGATTATGCCTCCCCCTCCTCCATCCTCCCCCAGTCTACTCCCATGAAGCTGCTGGAAGAATAACTCTATCCCGTAGAAATTCATGGTATGGAGCATATTGGGAGTCTTGAACTGAAAGCACTTTCTCACGGCATATTTATGTAAGAGCTTCCAGCTGTCCAGAGCGAGGAGCCAGCTCCAGTCCCCCGAGGGTCACTATGGGAACACTGTTATGGCAACTGGTTTTCATCACAGACTCTGCAGCTAGATTGGCTGAATTATAACCACACACTAGTACTTTAATGGTTAACAGTAACCTTAAAGTCTTTTGAAATTTAAAAATAAGTTCTGGTGGTATGGAATAACTAGGAGGAATGCAGTGTGGTTAACAGCGGCAGCTGTGGTGTGAGCCCACCCCATTCAAGATTTTGGAACCATGCTCGTTAAAAAAAAAAAAGTATTTTATGTTTACCCAAAGAGTTCAGTTATGAAAGCATTGATTACTTATTTTTTCCTCATTGTAAATTTTGGGGGACTTCACACAACTTGGCTTAAACTGTTATAATCCTTGTGTTGCAGATAATGGTTAGTCTGTTTAACCAGGCCATTTCCTTCTGTTTAGTCTCCCCTCTCTGTCCTTAAGCACCAGTTTTGAGATAATTGTCAGCTTTCTCCACACTTTCTCACAGCAGTCAAACCTAACACATACTTTAACTGTGGAGAAGTTTTGAGCTTTTTTTCTTTGAGTGTCACTGGTGAGCCCGGGCCCATTCACTGAGCGTCCTGCCACAGCAGGCAGGACTCCGTTTGCACAGTCTGTTCTCCTTCCCTTTCTGGAGTCCAGGTTTTACAACTTGCCAAAACTGAATTGCCCTTGCTCTCAAACTGCTCTTCTTTTAAGACTTCGGAGAGACGTTATGAACCATTCGTGTTGTAGTCCGAGCCTGGCTTTGAGTTTCTGCCATCCTGTGAAAGGAGAGTGAAAGCTTTTGAAACTTTCTAACTACAACCCAACAGTAAACAATGACAAATGAAGGAGACCCAGTATTACATACATATATGCATGTAATTCTGAAACAAAAGCCCTTACGATATGTGTAATGCATTCTTATATTTTTTTCTGTTGTGTGTCTTTAAAAGATATGCTGGTTGTGACTCTCTAAATTGGCTTGCAACCCATTAATGCGTTGTGACCACCAATTTGAAAACCACCAATTAAAAGGAATTATCAGAGTTAAGGAAAGATATGATCTGGTAGATGAATTCAGGGCAAAAGGACTCCCTAATTTAAAAAAAAAAATACAGACATATAGAGATAACACTTAGCTCTCAAGGTTAGGGTGCAATTTAGCAGATTATAAAACCTTAAGTACTTCAGATGCTCAATACTTTTGATGAGTAATTCTTAGATTTCAAATGAGGAGACTTGTCCATAGAGGGAGAAAGGAAGAACCAAGACAAGCAGCATATAAGCCATCTGTAAGAAAATGGTCAGTCGCGATAGGTGATTTACCGTAGGCTGGCTGTAAATTGTGTAAAGCAAGATTAAACTCAGTGTTATAAAATAAATGGGAGGTCATTTAAAGCATGAGATGGGGTTAAGGCAGAGACACATGGAGTCCAGTATTATGTATCCAGTATCTCCTGAGGGTTTGTTCAGCTCTCTGAAGATTACTTCCCAAGATTCGAGTAGGGCTAGATTACATTTCTTTTCGTGTACATTTTTTTATTGAAGTAAAACAAACATCTGTAGAGAAAAGTGTACAAATCAGAAGAGCACCACATCATGATACATTTTTCAAAATAAACGTCTCCCAAAGCAACTCACACCCAAGTCAGCACAATCAAAGTTTAGAACATTTCATCACTCCCAAAAGAAACCTCCATACCCATTAGTAGTCATTCCCAGCATGGTTTAGGTCGCCTATTTTTCAATTTGCCCATTTATAAATGGAGTCAAAGAGTAAGCTTGTCTTCTTTTATCTTTGATTCCTGTGTCTTAATTTATGGTTTCTGATATTCATCCTTGTTGTGTGTAGTTGTGGCTCATTCACTGCTGTATCCCACATATTATCCATTCTACTGTAGATGAACATTTGAGTTGTTTGCAGTTTGTGTATGACATATGCACTTTTTTGGTGAATATAAATTTCTGTAGGGTATATACCAAGATGTGAAATTTCAGGGTCATAGCACATGCATTTACTCAGCTGTAGAAGATTCTGTCAGAGAGTTTTCCAAGGGGCTTATTTATACCAGCTTACACTGCCACAAGCAGGATTTGAGAGTTCCAGCTACTTCATACCCTGGCCACACTCCATCCATCCTCTGTCATTTTCACGTTAGCCCCTCTGGAGGGTTAAAATATCATATTTGTGGCTTTCATTTGCATGTCCTTGATGACAAATCAAGTTGTACCTTTTTTATATGATTAATTGCCATTTGGATATTATCTTTTTTGAAGTTCCTGGTCAAGATTTTATTTTTGTCCATCTTT